CTCTAGGTGGGTGGCCGTCTGCCCTGTTGCTCTGGGAATTATAGGGAATCACTATCTGAAGCATTGAGGGAAGATTTATACAGTACCACAAAAAGGCCAATCGTCCAGAAAATAATGTATTAGATCATTAGATTATCTTAATAAAGAGTTGATCCTTTTTTGGATTTTCAAAAAGGTCAGCACATTCCATCAACGACTTTCAGATTTCTACTTCACATCAAGCACATGCCTCTTACCATGTCTTTGAAAGCATTCTCGATGGCGCCGATCACCAAGCTCTCGTGTGAAACCTTCTTCTCAGTAAAGAAGCGTGTGGGTGGGGTGCTGGGTGAACCCGGGGCCCCTGCAGCACCACGGAGCGAGGCGGCCCTGGTGAGGGCGCGTTGGGATGTCGGGGTGAGGTGGTGATTGATAGGCTCCTCTCCCAGGCACGTCGGGGGCAACAGGTTTGGAGTGCAGAGGATCTCTGTCACCTCCTGAAGGTGCAGGGCGATGTGGTGATGTAGAAGGCGGGAAGCCGCTACAGCCACCCCAGAGCCAGCGTGACCATCGAACAGCGCCCAGTAGTGCAAGGTTAGGTCTTCAGAGCCGTCCTGGATACAGCCAAACATACATCAGACACAGAGACATTCATCAATTGTGTCAATATTTGCATCAGCAGGTTTTATCATGAAAGCAGAGGAGTTTGTCAGACCTTGCATTCACACTGATCGTCCAACTAGGAACTAGGAAAATCTATTTATGCTAACTCATCCAATGTGTGACGTTTGTCAGCTGAGAATACTAATATGATTTCTTGTCTTTAAGTTTCTCTCATCAATCAGAAGTTGATAACAGCCAATCAATTTTTTCTAATCTCTAAATGGATGATTGGACAACAGCTGCATCCCATATTAGGGTGTATGAGTATTGTCAATTACAAGATACAGTATATATATTATTATCAGAATCAATGAAAAGTAACACCTCATTATCAAAAGTAATAAAAGTGTGAATGTGGGGTAATTCAAAGCTTCCTTTCTCCTTGCAGTCATATGTGATATTGCTGTGGTTCCCAACCTGGAGGGACCCACCAATGTCAAGATGCTGTAAATCTCAGGAAGAAATAAGGTTGTGTTTTCTTATGACTTTTCTCTATATAATACTGGATTGTTTTACTTCTTGAGGCCTCTGAAACCTAAAATGAACTGATGGAACTGCAAGCGACAACCTGTGGCGGGGGTCATGATTAGATGTGTAAAGGGTCAAGGTTGGGAACCACTGATGTACCTCTGTCTCAGTGACCAGAAGAATATGAGTCCCTGTTCAATACCATGTTAGACCAACATTACAGCTGAGTACAGCTCTAACAGAGACTCAAACAGGAAGCTGTACGGTCTAGGTGTTAAAGCCAACTCACGCAGACATCAGTGCTTCTAACAGTCCCCAAAGTGAATGGGTGAAAGGCCCATTCTACCAACAATGCATTTAAATTAATCTCATTCTGTAGGATGTTCAGTGGAAACACTTTGTATCATTAATGCATGCTCTGAGATCAATGCTTCAATCTGCAGGTTTTAATAGACCCACCATGCTGTGTGTTTGCACTCCTTCTGTGTTCATCTACAAAGTGCCACCTCTCACATAAAAGATTAAAAGATTAGACAACGTGTCTTATGATCCGCTTCATTCATTGCACACCTTTGAGTCTGCCGCCTTCCAAAAGTGCATCAGCTCTATGATGGAACCCGGAACCAATGGTCATGCTTATTCAAAGTGTGTTAGATAAAAATGAACTCCATTCTTAGAATTTTCACATATAGTAAAAGTTCAGACATGGAGTTGCAGTTGCACACACCTCATCATAGTGTGAACCATATTTAAAGTGAAAAAGAAAGGGCAGGGTTGATGCTGCATTATTCTGGTCACTGAGCGTAGATCATTGCTAGCACATATTTTTGCACACACACTAAAGCCCTGATTTTCTAAATATAGTGCAGGCAAATTCTAAAACATGAGCCTATGAAGCAAGCAAAGAGTACTAGAAAGGCTCTACACTACTCTTATTGGTCTAGTATCACTGCAGTAGTGAGTCATGAGGTACTTGCATGAGTTTGCTGTAGGCTCTGGGTGGGCCTGAGTAAAGTACTGGTGGGCTGAGAGGAAATTTTAGTAGCAGTATTACTTCATATAGACACATATTGACTTTGGAAATTAAAAAAAATCATAAATGGCCTTTTTATGAACGGGTAGAGGTGAAAGAACTATGAGGGAATAGAGAAATGACAGAGTGCATGGCAAATCAGAAAGACAAAGTGAAACACTGGAGAGAGACATCAGCTTGGGTTAATAGTTTTTTTTCAGCCTTGCAGGAAAAAAGGGACAGAGCCACCATTGTTAGAAACTGACTTAACTGTGTCAGCATACAGCGTAAATGCATTACACTGCCCCACAACGACGGTGAGTTTACATTTCACAACTGCACATGCGGAAGGACACGAGGTTAATTTTAAAGCCTATTCGTGTGTTTCTGTGAGCGAATGCGCTCGTAACCCTGCCCACATTAGTGGCTGTCAGGAGCAGTTTAAGGCCAATGTGGTGTGTAAAGGACACTGCGTTGTACGCCCCAATAAACCACTGATGGGACGGGATTAGGGGACAGTGGGTCCCAATAGAAGGCCCCAGGGACTTTCGAGGGCTACATCCACCCTGATCATTACCTGGATTTCATCAGTGAGTAAATGCTAGTAAATGTAGAAGCTTCCAGTCTGTGACGAGTATTACTATTTTATCAAAATGTTAGCAACAGCATTTGATTTTAAATTCTTGAGCTGAAGTATAAAAGTCAGCTCTGATTTGTTCTTAATTCCATTTTTGCTCTAAAAATGTGAGACATCAAAAAATAACATGACTTGCGGGATTAATCTTTTTAGAAGAATTTCCACTTTCTTTTTTACTTCAAATACCCAGAAATCAGGATGCCTTTATTCTTTCTGTCAGTATGTGAAAACTAAGGATAACAAATGGACAAGGGAGGCAAAAGAAGGCACTACGGTATGTATTTTGTTCTGAAGTATTAACTCATCACTTCCAGAATGTCATTGAAGTTGTATACAGTGGAAAAGGTGGATACTTCCTTAAGAAACCAGACTCATTAGTTTGACTGACCAGGCACTCCCGGAGGCCCATACCCTCTCCATTGGGCAGGGAAGACCTCCTGCGGGTCAGAGGGGTTCGGTTGGGCGTGGAGCTTCCTGCAGGTCTCCGTTTGACCACCAGCACCTCACAGCAAGCCTGGTCCTCATTTAACGTGCTCTTTCCTGCATTGATCACCCTTGACAGAGAGGAGATAAAAAGGTGACATTATTTATCATAATCATAATAATGCTAATTCAATACCCTAACAAAGCCTGATGGATCTGAGGGATGAACTATTTCCAAGGCATCAGTTGTCATCTCCACTCACATCATTTCAAGCCCTCCCTTCTATCAGAAACAGCACAATTCAGTAACAGCTGCATCTTGGATTAAAGCTGCACAGAAATTCTGCATTTATCACTACTGAGATCATACACAATTTAAGTGGTTCAATGACTTCCTAAACATTTCAACTGAAGCTGTGGCCTTTAATCCATCAGACGTTTTTAGGGACTATAATACCCTTCCAAACTCAATTTAAGGAGTGTGAAAGTTTCCCTTCATGACAGCAGTTTAGTTTTGATAAACAAAGTGAGACAATGAGGGGAAAAAAGTTAGCAGATACACATTCTTTAAACATACATTTAAATTTGAGACCCACGCATGTAGGGCAGAGGACAGAAAAACACATAAATACTGCATTATACAACACCTGGCAGATGGTGCACTGCTGCGAGCTGCTGTAGTCATGGACAAGTACACGCCGCTTTACAATACTCCAGGCATTCTCAATTTAGCCACACCGTAGGAGATGTTAAGTCTGCAGTGGCCCTATTAAAACTGTGCAAATAGGAGCTTGTGAAATTAAAGCTCAAGAGGTTAGATAAGCAAGCGGCACACGAGAACAGAATGTTAAGTATATCTACAAATATATATTTTTGTGGTAATGTGTCACTTTTTACTTTTCTGCTGTCCCTGCTGTCAACAGGTGACTGTTTGATATCATATTATTATTATGCTTAAAGATGTAGAGACTGGTACGGTTATTCATGTCTCAAGTGAGAATCATGTCAAATAAATGAGACATTATAAGGCCACATGTTGATATGAGGGGCTGTCATGACTTCTTTCCTATGGAGGATCTTATGAAAATAATCCTAATTGGTCATGGGGATGAACATGCAGAGCAGAGATCCCCCGTCTCCAGCTAAGAAAACACTGTTGGGGCAGACCTTCACTGAGTAAGATTGATTTTAATTGGAGTCTTACACAATGGGCTGTTCACCACTTCCTTATCCTAAAACCTAAGAATAGCACACTACCTGTAGTGTGTCAATAAGACAGGGCTAAAAGGAACACTCAATCTGCCTACACAGCTACCCAGCTATTATTGTGAATCCACACCCACCTACGTAAGCATGCTGCATGGCAAGATGCTCAGTTTTGCATCAGACTAGTGCTGAAAGCAATTAATTAATTAGTCAAAACAAAATTATCACCAACAATTTTAATACCAGATTTATAATTTAAGTAATTTTTCCACAAAAAATGTCAAATATTTGCTGGTTCCAATTTATCTTTGCTGTTTTTATTTGTTTCCTATAATTATAATTTACATAAACATTTTTGGTTGGACAGCATATTAGGGCCTGGAAATTAGTTTTTCAACATTTTCTGACATTTTACAGACTAAATGATTAATTTAAAAAACAATGAACACATTAATTGATAATGTAATAAATAATAATATAAAATAATATTCATTAATTGCAGACCTTGATCAGCACTTTACAAACCTCATCATTGACAGCGAAGGTAACATAAATTCAATTTACTGAACTTGTGCATGTTGGTCACTTGTTCAGTTTATAAACTGCACTGATTTTATAGTTTATTGTTAATATTCTAGTCCTATCTGCAGCTGAGGCAGCATTGGCACACATAACCAAGGGGGAATATCTGTAGTGAAGTTCAACAGACCTTTTTTTACATCTTTTTGACATTCTGATTTCCTGTCAAACACAGAGGTTACTAATAACATAAGTAACTGCTGTACTTGCAAGAAAGGGGCCATTGTTAATGTTATTAGTTCCACCTGAGCCTTTCCTAAAAGTTAAAGTTTTTTTTTTCTTTTCTCAAAATTCACAGTGACATGTAAATCACAAGATGGACAACTTGTTAGGATGGGTTATATGCAGATTGCATGCGACAATAAAGCTCCATTCTATTCTATTCTGTGTCTGTATTTGTGTGATGCAAGCTGTAGTAGTTTCCCTAACATTGTTATGGTTGATAAAAAAGGCAAATAACTTTTTCAGCTTCCATGATGTACCACATGTACACATGTTAGTTCTTTAGGCCCACTTTTCTCGTAGATTTCAACCATATCCCACAGTCTTCATCAACAGTTGTAGGACCCTTCATGAATTCTCCATGACAACTGTGCAAACTCCACCCACAGAAAAAGACAGTGAGATGTGGTTGAGAGCTCCAGAAAAACAAAAACTTCTCAAACTGCTCTTTCTACAGTCAGGAATAAACTTTCATACTCAAGCTGTTAACTCTTATCAAAACACACACACACACAGTCCTTACGAAGCAGTTGAGTTTTTGAACAATTATCACCAATTCTTATTCATTTATAACAAATTCAGTTTTGTTTACTTTAACAATGATTGTCGAGTTAGTGACATATTTTAGAAAGATATCAGGGATTTAAAACCAAGTTTCAAGTTTTTTACTGAAGACTATTTTTAACATAGCAAATATTTTTAGATTCTGCCTTCCAGGCAGCACTTGGTTTCAGCTCATGCCAGTTCACAAATCTAGAGGCTTATGTTTAGAGTTTTCCCACCAGTGTGAAATGATGGTCTGCAAAATGGCCAACAATAATGTCAGTATACAGTGTATATTATGTGTAGCTAATAGGTTAAAATATGCAAAACCAACAGCGTGTCCCATTAACTGCTTTCCCTAACTTCATATGATGAAAAGAGGCCACAAACTTGATGCACCATCACGTGAGACCAAAGCACTGCAGGGAGTGACGTTCATTTGACCCTGGAACATCACAAGATCAACAACAGTTGAGCTTTCGAGCCTTTCATCTCTGATATGAGAGGAAAAGCCATCCACGCCCCAAGGCACGAGCTGTGTCAGAGAGCAGGGCTGTCATATTCGCTTATCTCATTTCATTTTTTCACATTTGAGACAATGGCATGACCTTAATTACCCCATCAGAGCTGTAATCCACCGTGTGCCTTCTTTTTGGGAATTGAAGATTTGCTCAAAGGCATTGTCAGACTCTACCAGGTTTATTTTAGGGACATTATGATATTATATATTTGCATAATGCACCATGAGAATACTTTTCCACCCAGCTATATAGGAAATACAACAATGCCATAATAGTTCAACAAATGTATTGATTAGTTGATTAACAATTGTTTAAGTCATATATAAAGCAAATATTTCCTTTTTTTTTTTTTAAAGGATTTGCTGTTTTATTTGCCAGTTTTAAATCTTTTGGTTTTGGAGTATTAGTCAAACAAAACAAAAACTTTGAAGACGTTACATTTGGGGATGTAAGAAGACACTCTCACAATTCGATACAATTGACGATACTGGGTTCAGGGTATCATTTTAATTTCGTGTAAACCAAAAAGCTGCCACACCTCCGATTTTAAAGAGGATGGTGCATCCTCAAGCCTTCA